ACGGAGGGTAGATATGCCGGTAGCAGCTGTTTCTACTCGAATCTAGACGAATGCGAACTTGTACGTTATACCGAAGATAACTACGTGAAGAGATAAACGAGTGCGAAATCTAGCCGCTTCGTGGAATGTATTGCGGACTGAGTTTGTTTGATTTGAATGTTTGTTAACTACCTGAACATTTAAGTCCCTGATGCGCGATACCGTGAAGCATCGAGCCGCAGTGGTCGCAGAAGGTTGGCGTCAGGTACGTGAAAACCTCCCATTTGTGTGCGGTGCTCATCTGGGAACAAGAAATAGCGGCCCGGGAAAGCCCGGTCCTTCATTGTGATCTGATGCTCTGATTCCGAGCGATACCAGCCGAATCCTCGCTACTTCGTCTCTATCGCGTAAGCTCGACCGAAACTGCCATTATCGCGTTTACCGATTTAGTCGCTCGAAGCTAATTCGGCGATCGTTTTGTCGATCAAAAAAAAAAAAAAAAATAAAAAGAGATGGTTTCCCGGTTCTCGCTTTTCGCTACGATTAGACGCGTTCGGATTCCGGTCGAAGCTGCTGAACAAAGTCTACGAAGAGAAAGGATGGCCGAAATTGAAAGTACAAAGGTGTTGCTGCGTCCGTCTCAGTGGTTGGTCGAATCAACCGCTCTCTCGATTTAATCTGAAATTTAATCGGAGACGGTTTACGGAAAAGCCATTTTAACGTCTTTTTCGATTCGAGCGAAGGGAGGAACGTGGTTTGCCACCGGTGTAAACCTATTTGTCGGGAAGGAATCCTTGTCGCGATAAAGATAGCCAGCTAGTCGCTCGGTAACGTTCACTCGGAACCCAGTTAAGGTTACGGTTTGCTACGCGAAATTGAATTTGTCTCTTTTTCTTCTTTGTTTCCGTACAATGAGAAAGAAAAAATGGAAGAATCCCAGTAGGAGGGTGGGCGGCCGCTTGGTCGGTCGGGCTGATGGGCCGAAGGGGAGGCTAGGACGAGCTGAAATGGACTAGCCCGTGAGTAAGATGGGATCCAGCTAACGGAGAGAAAGATGGGAAGAGGAAGAGCGAGGGAAGCGAGAAGCAAAGTAGGCCTTTGCCGTCTTTCGGGCACTAACGCGGCCCGCTCCTTTGCCTCGATTTTCCAGGCTTTTCTCCCGACCCCGGTAGTCTCGAGCGTTTAATTCGTTTCCACGCCGCTCTTCTTCCAATTCAGCCCGCCCCCTACTACGCTCCTTCTCTTTTACTCTCTTGGCGCCAAACACGTTCCATACCGTATGCATGGAGCCTGCAAGTCTCCTTGCGACTTTTCCTCTCGTTATTTCTACCTTTTATTTCTCGTTATTTCTACGCATGGCTCGTCGATAAAATAGAAAAGTGGAAATTACACGGTGGAAAGGAATGTCGATTCATCCGATTTCGCGCGTATCTCGCGGAAAGGGGCGTAAGGGAAAAGAGGGACGCGCCACAGAAATCACACGTATGTACATTATAGAACACGAATTGCGGTGACACATGATGCGGCATAGATCAACGTATAAAGTGTGCGGGACATCGGATTATCCGAAAAAAAACACGTAGAAGCGGAAAGACACAGAATGCATAGAGACAATCTGTACAAAATAGAAGAGTTATTTACAAAAATATAACAAGTAAAACGTAATGTATCATATGTATAATATCGTAGAGGATCGAAGATCGCCTTTACTCGGTGGAAGCTCAGAGTCGATGATGTTATTCACAGCATGATGGAAATCACGCGTTCCCTTTCTATCGTCTAAACCATAATTAATATTATCGTTCGTTCTTTCACGCTGCTGGCTACTATCCGATTCTACTCGAAATTTTACGAGCAACCTGGCGCGGCGGCCGGCTCGAAAACTATTACTTTTCGCTATTTCTATCGCGAGTTCTTTGCGATCTTCGTGCATTCAAAGTGGTCGCGTCATCCTCGAATTCACAATTTTGCCTATCTCGAGAAACACCGACAACTACGAGAGAAGATCGTAGATGTAACAAAGTAACGCAAATATCAAGCTTCGACGTCTAAAAGGCCAAGCTAAATATTGCGTGTAACTATTATACATATGTATACGAACATCAAAGTCTGTGCACACACACACACACACACATCGTGAAAAGTAGAACGAGGAGAAGTGTGAAAAGGTTTAAAGGTGTAAGTGGGAAGGAAACGTTTCACGCGCACACACATTAAATTTCAAAAGAGAAAAGACAAGTCGTGTGTGAAAAAGACAGGATTCGTCCAGCGATGGGTATGTACCTACGCCGTTTCCACGTTTCCATATTTTCATAGTTTCCCGTTGGTTGCTACGTCAACGAAACGAGTCTGATGAGATTTCGTTAAACCGATTTTTGTCCCATCGCCGGATCATCGGTCACCACGACGATCGCAAGGAGAGCAAAGGGGCGAGGGAAACAGAGAGCGGAAACTGGAAAGAAAGAAGCGGACAGAAAAGTAAACCAAAGTCGAATCGTATCCTCTGTTACGTATGTACATCGTGTATCTCTCTCCCCTAGCTTTCCATTTCTTTTCTTCTGTATCTCGCTGTCTCTCTTCTATTCTTCTCTTCGCTTCTTTATCCCCGTCCCGTGAAAAGTAAATAGGTACACGTTTCTGTGCGCACATAGAGATAAACGTACGCGGATACGAGTGTCAACGAATACGTAGTCGTTCGAAGGCGCAAATAGCGATCGAGTTGTGCGCGCGTGGCTTTCCACGTGAGAACTTGCCGCGAATCGTAATATCCGAAACGGGGAAACACCAAGGAGAAATTGATTTGCGCGCGATCGAGAAAACCGATCGAAAACGATACATCGCTCATCGACGATAACTTGTTCTGTGACATTCGCGAGCGTTCAGGCTGCTACGTACGCACGATTATGTTAAACTCTTGCGCGACAGAGATAAGCTTTGCGAAAGAATATTTACAAAGTACGAACATCGGGAAGAGGAATAAGAAGAAGAAACAGTGATGGTAATAGTAGTAGTAGTAGTAGAAGAAGAAGAAGAAGAAGAAGAAGAAGAGGGAAAGTAAAACGAGAGAGTAGAAGAAAAAGAAGAAAAAGTAGAAGATCAAAAGACACGAAGAAGATCAGAGGAAACAAGACGAAGATAAAGCAACACCACGAACAAACGGTGGACCATAGACAAAATGTGTACGGTCAGTATAAAGTGCGATAGTGTCTGTGTCCTTTTTCTTTTCGTGTGTCTGTGTGCGTGTGACTGGTTGCGTGTACTCGTTTTTTCTTTCCATTCTTTTCTTTTTTCGTTTTTTAATATGATACCTTGGCACTTCATGCCCTGGTGGATGACACCATAGAGAAGACTACCGCAGTGGTCACAGAAGGTGGGGCTGTTGTAGGTGTGTTGCTTGAATTGGTGCTTCGTCCGCGTGTCCTGCGTTATTACACCATTACACCGTGCACACACACGCAGACTCTCGGGTCATGGCGTAGGGATCATGATCGTGATCGGGATTGCAGCCGGGATCGTAATCGGGATTACGGGATGAAAATCAGGATCGAGATCGAATAGAAAGGATATAAGACATATCGGTGGCAATCGATTTCCCTGGTAAGCGAATAAACGCGGTGCTCGGCTTTCCACGGGCACGTGATCGCAACGATATCGAAGAGAACGATCACGTGACAGCGACACGTTCGTTTCGAAACATCTGCTCCAGCGCTTATTTCCATTGCGCGAAGCTTGCACGCGCTCGTCAGTGACAGAGGCGTGTAGCGCGTCGTTCGAAATAAACCGGTGCTATGTAGTACGTTGGTCGAAGTTAGAAACGGGTCGTCTAGCCGTCGCGTGGAACAGCATCGGAATCGGTGGCAGCGGTAACCGCGAAACGAGCCAGTTTCGCAGCTGAAACGAACAAGCGACACTACGGTTCCGTGTGACGTGTTATCACGAGGCGCCACACTGTGTCGTCCGCGCTGTGGTCCATCAAGTTCTCTAAGTTATGCTTCGCTTTCAAACTACGAAAGCGCCAACTCGATTATTACTCTGCCTGGCACGACTCCGTTACTCGTAACCGTTACGCGCACGGACGTGTCAGTTAACCGACGTGAAAACGCAGCCAATTTTGAAATTTAGTTTCTCCGTCGATCGATCGACCGTACGTTTTCGTTGGCTGACAAAGATATCGCCTTCAGGGAAATTGTGCCGTAATTCGATCTGCAAGGACGTACGAGGATCAGGGGTTTCGAGAAAGAGTCATCTTCGAAGCACAGAAGCACAAGGAAATCAGCACCAGGGCCAAGGAAGACGCTAGGACATTGATCGTTTTAGTTCGAATACCCAAATGTAAATAAAAACCATTTCCTTCCGCAGTGATTGGAAAAACGTTCGCGACTCGTCGATCCTTCGACAGGTTGTTCTCGAAGGCGTCGGCTCAGGAGGACGACGGGAGCGGTGAATTTTCCGATTCGCTTGTCGCGATCTCGCAACGAGTCGGGAGCGTTGTTCCCGTTTAGACGATCCGGGCCAACGAATTTCCTTATAGTCGTCCGCATAATTATTCCGTGTTACAAGCGTGGTTAAACGAAGCGCAGTAAACGCTTAGGCCAATCGTGCGCGGTGCGAGAAAACGTGGAGAAATATATAGCTCTTAGCCCCGGGTGTCCTTTCCCTATTTGCTCCAGCCGAGGATCATCCTTGTTCTTTTAATTGTCGCGTTACGGCTTTATTTATCGGTTTATTAGACGATTCGTTTTAGCTCGTTACCCTTCTCTCTTTCTTCCTCTTCTTCTCGACACGCGCAAGCAATTACGTTCTGGTCCATTTCTTCCAATTACATCGACGTGTGTATTTAAACGCCAGATAAATTCATCTACAGTTTCTATCGGACGTGTAACGTAAAACGCGTATTTCTTTCTTTCTTTCTTTCTTTCTTTCTTTCGTTTTATTATCATTGGATATAAGTAAGTTTAGGTAACACGAGTTTTCCTCGATAGAACGAATTTCATTAGCTGCTAAAATACGGAATCCATCGAATCGATTACACTGTAAAAATACGATCCGCGCGCGTTTGGTCGACGGAAAGCTCGACCTCGATATCGATCCGGCAACCGACCTTCCTTAACCGGTCGCCACTTTTCGCAGCGGCTACCAATATATGCTCGGCCCTCTACGCGTGTTTAACGCTGCTGCTATTAATTAACACGTATTTAGATGACAGAGATTGTAAGCGAGCTAGAATTATAAAACAGACAGAGAGAGAGAGAGAGAGAGACAGAGACAGAGAAGAAGAAACAGAGAACGTAATTGCAAGCTGTCTCGGCGTAATACAATAGTCCGTGGTGGACACCCGTGCGCAACACACGCGCATTTCTTTGCTCCCAGAATTTCCGTATTCTGCTATTCTTGAAATTCGCTCCGATCCCATGAATCGTATACGCGGTTCAGGTAACACGCTGCGGGGTATGCGAGCTAATCGAATCGCGTGAAAATCGCGACTGCGATATTTTTCTTTTCTTTTTTTTTTTTCTTTTTTTCTTTCGAAACGAAGCGCGTTTAGAACGTCCTTGGCTTCGGACGAAAGAGAGAAAGGCGCGATAAAACTGCTTCGAGAAAGAAGAATAATAAACGAAAAGAATCGTGTGTAACGAGATATGCAATTCGTCGATACTCACGTCCGAGTCAGCTCCCTTGTCGGCGCCAGGGCACGTGAAAGTCACGTATTCGTGACATCGTTTATGAACGACGAAACTGCAGACTGAAACACAAGCGGCAAAAATGGAGCCAAAGCTGTTCCATGGGACGAATCGTGGCTGAACAAGAGGTCGATCGCGTCGAAGCCTCGGACGTTCTTACCTTGACATTGGTATCCTTGCTTTCCAAAGCCCCTGAAACAAAAGTTTTCGTCGTGAAATTAATTTTTTCATCGAACGCTCCATCCTTCTCTGTTGTTCCAGTTGTTGTTGTTGTTGTTGTTGTTCTCGTTCTTGTTGTTGTTGTTGTTGTAGTTGTTATTTCTGACTAACAAAGCACCTAACAACTATTTGTAGTACGACGGACTGACGAGTCTCGTGCTGCACGGGGAAACGCGTTCGAGGTCTCTGTATGTTCGATCAATTGAAACAGCATCCATTTCGTTCGGTGGCTTGTCAAAAGCAAAGTGCGAACGAGCCGTTCTCTCTGTACACTTTTACTACGTTAGTCCGTTAAATAAGAAAGTACCTGTATAAAAACCTTTCGATAAACGTTCAAAGTAGATCTTTTTGTCCCGATTATCGGCGATTTCAATGAAACGAGAAAGGATACGAATTCTACTTTATCGAATCGTTATACCACGTATATTAAAACCTTGGCCAAACAACGTAAACAAGGTCTCGATATTAGCCGCGAAGCTTCAACTTAAACAGGACGAACGCGTGTCTAGGAAAGAGAACTTGTCGGATCTTGGGAGACGATCCAAAGTACATTTCCGGACGTATAACGTTTATTTACCAGTGATGCAACGCGCGGTAACCATCTATACCGGTCCGTGAGTGATTAACACAGCTTTAACGAGCAAATCGTTCGATTTCAAGGCTTCGTTGCTATACCAATAAGGTTTCGATTCGAGACGACTAGACTTGGGTGAGCGTAGCTTCCGATTACGCGTATCGTATTGCCGGCGATCAAACGGAATTCGCGTGTTCGCAGTTTCAAAGGCGTCGCTCGAACCGAAGATAACGAACAAAGGGCGAATCATTGGCGGATCGTAAAGCGTAACGACCTTACGTACGATAAGCGACGAGGACAGATCGACCGAAAGGATAATGCGAGATGAAACGCGAGAATGAAACTCGTACGGTAGCGAAGAAGAAAAAGATAGCGACAAGTTGGTCCGTTTTATCCACTTTGACGAAGGGATCAGGGATTAGAAGTGGAAAGTGTATGAAACACAAGAAGACGTTCGGAAAGGACACGTGGAATACGAAAAGAAAGGAATAAGGAAAAGGAAGAAAGAAGAAAAATCGATACAAATCCCAGATTAGCCTACATTTCTTCGAAGCTTAAAGGCTATCGTTCACTTAACAGCGGGGCACGTGAACGACATCGAACCAACATCCACGTAAATGCTTATACAGTGGCATTTCGTATTTCAGAACCGTGTGCTTTCTTCGTAATTGCGTTTTCCACGCCGTCTTATTAATCTTTGTTTATTTTACCGGAATAACGGAGATCTGTTCGCGTTAGTTTGCGAATAAACGATATTCGGTTGTATCTAACGGCGTCTTAAAATCGAACAAACCCAAGTTCTTTCCTTTCTTTTCTTCCCTATTTTCTTCATTCTGCTTCCCTTCCCTGTCATTTCCTTCGAATCTTAACACTGGAACTACCACACCGGTCAAATCGACTGGTTCTACAATTTTATCCGAAAATTCCTACCTCGTGTTATATCTTCATTCCGCAACGATAACTAAAAGAATAATACAATGAATTTTATTTTGTTTTTCGTGTATTCGAACTGAAAATAATTTTGCATCGAAACTACTTGTACCTGATAGCGGTCAAAATGACCGGTACTCGTCAAAGTGTAAAAGGACACTGCGATCCGATTATCGAAACCCGATTAACCAGTTTCCTCGTTTTCTACGGCTCTCCACACGTTTTCAAAATTTTTACCGCGTATCCTTCGATACGATGATATCAAGAATGTCGAAGCGATTACCACCTCTAAGAAAACTCTACATCTGGTCTTTTTAGTTTTCTCAAGCACCGAAGCCATCGACAGCGCGTAGACAAAAGACTGCGACGAAGACAGACCATAAACGGTAGACAGGCGACGTCGGCTTCGGGGTTTTTCAGTTATTGGGTAACACAGCTAGCGTGCGGATCTGCACCAGCTCAAATTCTATTCTTACTTATAATTACGCTTCTATTTAAATATATTTTCTGCCTTACAATTTATCCACGCGTTTTCTCTCTTTACACATCGAATAACCTCGACAAAGAAAATTGCAGATCGATCGCTAGATCGCTAGATGCTAACGCTGGAAACACCACGGCAGTGGAAGGGACTGGTTCTACGATTTTCTAATTGTGTCGACCCTCGTTTAAGTCGATCATAGTCGCAGGTGGATTAATAATAATGGAATAGCTTCTGTAAGAAAGAAATAAATCAATAAATATACAAGCATTCTGTTATCAGGTATCTTTCAAAGATCAGTCATTTTCGCTGGTTTTGGTAGAAATAGCTTCGTGTTAACTATCGGTAGTCGCAGCGTTAAGTCTCGTATATTCCTTTTCATAGCGTTTGTGCCGTATCGATATCGATAAGGCGTGCGTGGCAAATGCGACGAATGCATTGGACAATTGGCTCGATGCCGTGCCGCGAGCTCAACGACGAGCTTCGATCACTTACTACACGGTAAGAAATGAGAGTTTATTCGCTCGGTGGATCCGCAGGTACGTCGAACGCTATAAAAGAGACTGGATTTCGCACGTTAAAGCTACGTAACACGGTGATAAAATCCGTTAAACGTGAAACCTGGCCGTATCGAGAAACGCGTACATCTTGTCCGGGAACGAATCCCTATTAAGAAAAAATAGAACGCTGCGTAGCGTTCTAAGTGTCGCCGCATCAATCAGCGTTGCTACTTCGTGTACGTACACTTGATATACATACGCATATACGTATATATATTGTATACACACGCACGATATACATGCCTATGTCGTGGAAGTTACTATAACTGGAATAACAAGTAGATCGGTTCTATTTTCGATGCGGGATACATCGTCAGTAGCCGCCCTTTGGAAAATTAAGGTCGATTTAGTCGACTGGTTTGGCTATCCGCTACTCGTGTACCACTGTAACGGAGCCGGAAGGGAGCACCACACCGGCGGCCACCGTGTTCTACCCGATACTCTCTACCTTCCGACACACGATCGCCAAATACTGTTAATCTTCCGACCAGCTATCGCTGCAGGAGTTTGGCTTGACGTTCGTTTCGTCCCAAACGAACGAACAACATCGCTCGGTACAGCGCTGTCGATTTTTTTAGTCGAATCAGCTGGATATTCAAGCGAAAGCCGATATGGGTTAGCTGGATGAAAGACAGAGGGAGAAAAAGAGAGAGAGAGAGTGTGGAGAGGGAACGAGTTAGTTCCGTCCTGCTGACTATCCGGTGAAAGAGGAGGAACGCGCGATGAAAATTCACCGTGTTTCGAATACGATTTTCCACTCTGACCGGACGATGCGATCAATCGAGGTCCCGGTAGCAAAGGGAAGGATAGCAAAGCTGATGATAGAATAGACGGATTTTTACGCATTTATGGGAAATTTGAAAGCGCGCAAATACATACGCGACGCGTGTCTAATATGCAAATGTGGGATAGTGTGACGTCAAGGGAAGGACGTGACGCGAGGGGTAATTGTTTATTAGCGTTGTCAAGATACGTTAACGTTGTCAAGGAGCGTCGCGAGCGTTACCAAGGTATGTTAAGGGAAAAATGAGCGTGGAAAATGCCGTCAGAGTTGAATTTATCAAGTGTGAGCTTCGTTGTGTCGTGGCGTCGTAGAATTAGTATACGAAACGAATGCGCGAAACGCGGTATTATATTCGATTTCGTGTGAGTGCGACGATATCGTATTTATCACACTGTTTTCTATAAACTTCTAATATAACATTCCTACGCAAACGATCGTACAAATATGACTAGCGACAAGGAAGGACAAGGATAAGAAGAGCAGCTCGATCGGAAAATTGCCAATGAACGTACATATTGGCGATTGCCAGAGGAATCGTACAAACGTAAGGTTTTATAGTCTCTCCTCGAGAAAAGGTAATCGATCGCGATATCGCATCTATGTATATTCGCTTAACCCGCAGGTGCTTCTTGGACCGTGACGGGTTTCCTGGGCTCATCGAGACTCACGACGACCTTACCGATCCAGGCGAGAATCCATCGAAAGCCTTTTGTTCTAAGCTAATTGGGTTCGCTCGGTTCCCATCGATTTTCTAGCCTGCCTGGCCTCGCTCTTCCCCCGCATGGACCGCAATGAACCGCAACGGACCGCTAAAAATTCCCAAACGAAGCGTCCAGCGTACTCGCGTTTATCCTCGCCTCTCGTCTTTCATCCCGGATTTATTAGTCCGAAATAGATGTGGCGAGTACTTTTTCGCAACGAAACCTTTGCGCAACGACGAACGGCTGTAGTCGCGATGCTTAGTTTGGCGGCGAACAGCGATCGGTCATTTGTCCGCGACGCGATCAATTTTCCTATCCGCTGATTCCGTACGTCTTATTTGCGAGAAATGAATATGAATTCTTCCGAATCGATTGGTATTGGTATTGGTATTGCGAACGATGCACGAGAGATTCGGAACGAGATCCTTAACGTTCGATGGAAAATTCAACAGGCAGCTGACAGACGCTGGCCTTCGGCCAGAGCACGCTCGCTTTCACGGAACGTGCTTTTTTAGATTCCAGTGCTTACGGAATTCCTACGAACGCGGTGAAATAGATGGCGGCGAAAAATATTGTTGATAAATTGTAGCGACCAGTCTCCTACGAGAATTCTCAAAGAGAATTTTCTATTTTTCGCGTGTCGTTTTAACTGACGCTACGCGACACGACTACGCGACCAACTCGTTGACAAAATGAACAAGCTTCGAATACGTTTCGAGCACGATTCCATAAAATCATGATTAAATGGAAGTTGAAAGCTACTGGATAGGTATGTGGACACAACGCGCGTGTGCGGCGCACCGATACGATCAACGCGACAGGATTCTCATGAATTTCCGAGGAATGGGCAGGATTGTCGGAATCCGTGTCCTGATATTCCATCGAATCTCAAATACGAGTGAACCAATGTACGAATAAATCGCAACGTTCGTTTCGTAGCAACGGTAACGTCCATTTACCGGCACATCGTGTTCGCATTTTCGCGAAATACGAAACGTACCACGAGATAAGCCTGCACCACGCGTGTGCAGTCTAATCAACGACTACGTAGGTATTCAACGATACGACATCGTAAAACGGTACAATTGATACGACAAAGAGCCAATCGATCGGATGGTCTGTTGATTCGCTAAGCGGAAACGTCTAAAATCGATAAAGTATCGATCGGCGAAAGAGGGACGCGCGTACGTCGTTCGAGGAGCTTAAAGAAATTACCCGATAAGATACCCAACGACGAAAATCACTCTGAGCGATGCGAGAGTGCGTTCTTCCGTGTGCAAAATATTTGTTCGTCTTACTCGCGCGAAATAAGAAACACGGGAGTTTAAGCGAAAGGCAAAGACGAGCAGAAACGAACAAAACGAGTACGCCAAAAGTAAAGCAAAGTTTTCCGTTCGAACGAGTATTCAATTTTTTCACGATCGAACTGTTAGGTGTCTCGATAACCAGCTTCCTAGTGCCGAAAAGTAACCGATCTCTAAAATAAAGAGCGTTTTCAACGATCCAAAAATAATAGTCGCGTTGCTTGAGAATTCCGACGAGGTAGATACAGGCTGTTCTCCTTTCGTTACAATGCAATGCGATCGATAAGCCGAAAGCATTAAACTTTAAAGTAACATACGACGAACTTAATATTTCTGCCTATTCGCTGGATTCGCAATTTTTCGAGCCAAAGATCAATTTGCGTTCGACCGCTTAATAAAAGGAGACGAGATTAGAATCCGTGTTATAACCGTTGGCGGTGAAATTTTCGAAATTCGACAACGGAGCTAACGCGTTTGCTTCCTTTTCATTGAACTCGGTCGTATACTTATCGGCCTGTCAGAAGCAAGCCACGTCGGAAGCAGATACTTCCGAGCAATTGGTTGTAAATCGACAAGTCGATGTTTATCCAAAGGGAACGGGCCAATCCCTTTGTTTAACGAGTGGAAGTCTTTTGGTCGTCGTTGACCCTCTTTAGCATCGTACAATCTATCTTTATTCTTTTTTTTTTTCTCTCTTCCTATGTTTAGACGAATACGCAACGATGTCCACGATCTACGATGTTCCGTTAGAATCGCGCGTATTATTCTTCCGTGGACGAAGATTGCACAGCGTCGAAGACGAATCGTGGTCGATTGGCTTCGTCATCTCGATCTCAAGGTTCACGAAACTCAAATGCATCGTTTGGTATGTGATTCGTCATCTCTACCGCCGTATACGCGTGTATGTATATGTATATCGACGCGCAACCATCGCTCGTTGTGCAACCGATTCCTCGACAAGAGGCACATTCTCTTCTTCGTGCTTCTATCTTCTCGTTAGCGTGTAGCGAGCAATTGAAGGAGAGAAGAGTGCAGCGTTATAGCTTCGCGTAAATAAAATCAGTCGGTATCGTCGGTGTGGCGGTGTGGCAAAGAACACCTAAGCATGTAATTAGAAATGAATGGCGAGCTTGTGTTCACCATTGCTGACGGATAATGCAAGTTCGTCACGCGAAACCACACAACTCGATAACGACTTATAGTTTTAAATACGTTACGACTGGCGATCGCAACACGTGATTCGCGAATAGACAGAAGCCAGTGAAATAAATCTTGCGGTGAACCGCGAGTAGGTTCGTCAATCCTCGGAAAGACGCTTCACTTCCATTATTAGGTAACGAAATCCGAGAAATGATCTGTTATTTTGCTCGAGAGAAGCTCGAGAACATACGTTGCTTTTGTATGTGATCAGATAAGGTATGGTAATACGTTGCACTTAGGTTTAAGGTTTTAGAGTCGAGTTTGAGATTTAAACGGTATGTTAAATGCAATTGTCATGCCCAAACGCTATTCTGTATGGATAGAGTAATAAATAATAATAATAACGATAACAACATTATCGCTGTTGGCTTTCTTTATTCGAACTGCATATTGCATAATAAAAATACGATCGACGTATATTTGAAAGACAATCGTTCAAGGTTCGAACGAGCGTGAGAAGAAAAGGTGGCGGAACGTTACATCCAAGTGTCGATCGTAAATGAGAGCAAACACTGGCGAGCAAAGTAGACTCGTACATTCCGGTTATACACGACCGGATCGAATCAGATCGGTTTGGATTCGATTGGATCGGATCGGATCGCGTCCAATATCGGATCGTCGCGGTTGATCGAAAAGAATCACGGGTAGGATCACGGTTAACCATATTTGACGCAATAATTTAACCGAATTATTCGTCGTCGATGTTTTTAACCGAATCAAATTGGAAGAAAGCGCGAGCATAGGAGCGTCACGAAGAAAAAAAGAGAATCGTTGGGATAGTCCAAGCAAGATACCGGCACGACTTCTCCATCATTTCGCGTTTCTTTTTCCGCAAGAAGGCAACGACAAAAGGTATGGAAGAATTGGATCGGAAACGTCTGTTGCGTCCGTTCTCAACGGCAAAATCGATGTCGGCGAAACAAGTTAGTTTGGTTACTGGGTCGCTCGCTATTGTGCGTCAATGCCTGTAACCGTTTCAACTGCACGTAAATGTTACTCGTTAGATATCATCCGGGTTATGCGATGCCGTAAACTTCTTTTACCTGACGCTTTACAACGAATTAATTACGTATCGTCGTCTATCGTACGCTAAATCGTATAAAATATACGGAGAAGATCGGACAATCGCGATCCGATATTTCTTAAGCAAATACGAAATATCGTCGATCAAAGATTTGTCATCGCTTCGATCGCCGATTGTTTTTGCTTGCCGACGCATATATTCGATGTGATTCTACTTTCCTCGATCTTACCAACGGAAAATATAAGCATAATTATCGGATGCGCCATAATCGATACAGCTTGAAAGAGACAAAGCAGGACTCGTTTCGTGGATGCTGGATTGCTTGAAATCGTTCGAAAATCCCGCGCTCAAATTGATCTCTCATTCGGTCGTCGTTTCTAATTTAGACGAAGCGCGAGTATTCTCAAGGCCGGACCGTTTAACCGTTGCTCGAGTTACTCTACCGGCAGCTACCGGCCACTGGATTTATGTATCATCGAGGACAGAAACAGAAAGAAAGAGAAAACGAGAGAGAAAAAGAGAGGAAAGGGAAAGAGGAGAAGGATGAAAAAAAAGACGAGAAAAATAGAGACAATCGCGCATTCCAAGTGGAACTCAAGACGCGACAGATATTCGATTGTACGTAGATTAAATTCGATTGCGAAAAGGAGAATCGATAGAAGGAGAGGAGCGGGAAGACAAAAGTGGAGCGGTGATGTAAGGACAGAGAACACCGCGAGAGAAGGATGGAACACGAGATAAAGAAAAAGACGATTTAAAGGACTCACCATATAAAGTCCTTGCAATGACTACAGAAGGTCGGTTGCTTGAAGAAGCGCGGCATGAAGCTATGATTTTTGACGACGTAGACATTCTTCTTCTTCAGAGCTCCTTTTCGTCCCCTAATCTTTTTGGCGAATGCAGTGTTCGCGTCGCCGGGCCCAAGGGAATCCTCACACGTGTTGTTTGCTTCCTGATCGTCCGCCATCGTGCAGTCAACTAATCGATTCCCCTAGATAATGATCGGAGCAAAAATCTGTGAAAGTTTGATCGTGGCTCGCACACTTTCAGGCCACTCTTCCCTTGATGTATGGAGCTGCGGCAGCTTCTCCTCGACTGTCACAGGTCAGTCGAAAGATGCACGCGCGTATACGAATCGACCCTTGCTGGGGAAGAGTAAGCTATCCGAGCGAGAGCCAACAACCACAGGAATGCTCGGGGAAACGCTCGGGGAAACGCTCGGGGAAACGCTCAGGGAAAGGGAGGACAAGTCGGGAAAGAGTACGGTAGAGAAGAAAGAGACGAAAACCGGAGGAGCGAGGAAAGAGAAAAAGCCGTTTGTTTGCGCGGTTGTCGAAATGCTCGACGTGCGCGTCCAATGTGTACTCGCTCGACGTGCGATAAGTAATGCACTTGTCACGGTAACTCGTGTCGAGACCGACGGTCACCG